TCAGAAGTGGGATTGCTGGCTCACATGGTAGTTCTATGTTCAGTGTTTTGAGGAACGTCCATGCCATTTTCCATCGCAGCTGTACTATACACTGGCAGTGTACTAGGGTTCCCCTTTCTCCACATCCTGGCCAACACTTACCTTCCATCTTTTTCATAAAACCTGTTCTAATGAGAGGGAGGTGTTATGTCACTGTGGTTTTAATTTGCATTTTCCTAAAGATTTAGGTTGCCACCGGTCTGCTCCGGGCCCCAGAGCTTCTTCAGTGCTTGCTGTCTATAGTAAGCATCTCAAACTTTAATGTGCATATGGATCACCTGGGAATCTTGTCAAAATGCAGCTTCCAGGTAAGTGGGTCTGCAGTGGGGCCTGATATTTTGCCTTTAGAACAAACTTCCAGATAATACTGATGTTACTGGTCCCAGGATCTGCCTTTGAGGTAGCATTTTTTCATGAACCTGTTGGCTGTTTATATGTCTGCTTTGGAGAAATATGTTTGGTTCCTTTGTTCATTCTTGTATTGGCTTGTTCTTTTGCTGTTGAGTTGACTGAGTTCCTTATATATTTTTAATATTAGCTCCTTTTCTAATGTATGGTTTGCAGATATTTTTTCTTACGATGTGGGTTGTCTCTTTATTACTTGTGCCTTTTGCTGTGCAGAAGCTTTTTAGTTTGATGCCATCCTGTTTCTATGTTTGCTTTTGTTGCCTGTGCTTTTGGAGGCATACCCAAAAAAATCGTTGCCCACATCAGTGTCATGGAGCTTTTCCTCTGTGCCTTTTTTTTTTTTTTTTTTTTTTTGAGACGGAGTCTCGCTCTGTCACCCAGACTGGAGTGCAGTGGCCGGATCTCCGCTCACTGCAAGCTCCGCCTCCCGGGTTCATGCCATTCTCCTGCCTCAGCCTCCCGAGTAGCTGGGATTACAGGCGCCCGCCACCTCGCCCGGCTAGTTTTTCGAATATTTTAGTAGAGACGTGTTAGCCAGGATGGTCTCGATCTCCTGACCTCCTGATCCGCCCGCCTCGGCCTCCCGAAGTGCTAGGATTACAGGCGTAAGCCATCGCGCCCAGCCTTTCTGTGCTTTCTTATAGTAATTTTAGTTTCCGGCCTAATGTTTAAGTCTTTGATCCATTTTGGGTTGATTTTGGGGCATGGTGTAAGATAAGAGTCTAATTTTATTTTCTGCATATGAATAGCCACTTTCCCCAGAACCATTTATTGAATAGACTGTTCTTTCCCCTTGGCATGTTCTTTGTGCCTTTGTCAAAAGTCAGTGCCTGGCCAACATGGTGAAACCCCATCTCTACTAAAACTACAAAAAATTAGCCGGGTGTGGTGGCAGGCACCTGTTATCTCAGCTACTTGGGAGGCTGAGGCAGGAGAATCACATGAACCCAGGAGGCAGAGGTTGTAGTGAGCCGAGATCACTCCACTGCACTCCAGCCTGGGCAACATTCCTCCTGTTTCTGGAATATATATTCTTGAGGGTATTCCCGTCTGTGGGTAGTTGCCAGTTAGATTTCTGTGGTGGGGAAGTGGAGCTCGAGTATTCTTTTCCTTTTTCTTTTTTGAAACAGCATCTCACTGTATCACCCAGACTACAGTGCAGTGGCATTAACATGGCTTCGCTGCAGCCTTGATCTCTTGAGCTCAAGTGATCCTCCCACCTCAGTCTCCTGAGGAACTAGGGCTACAGGCATGCATCACCATGCTCGGCTAATTTTTAATTTTTTTGTAGAGACGGGGTCTTGCTATGTTGTCTAGGTTGGTCTTGAACTCCTGGACACAAACAGTCCTCCTGCCTTGGCCTTCCAAAGTGCTGGGATTACAGGCGTGAGCCACTGCACCTGGCCTGTTTCTTTTGTTTAGTATTTTTGTTTACTTTGTTTTATGAGCTGCTATTTCAACTACAATTTTAATATTTTTAGCAATTTTTTGGACATGCAGAAATTTCTTACTAATCAAATATATTTTTGCATTTTGTGTGTTTTTTAGATTTCCTTTTTTTAGGAGTGTTTCCAACCATAAACTGCCAAATAGAAACACACACATACACATACACATACACATACACACACACACACACATACACATACACACACACACACACAGGTTATGAATAGGCAACTAATTGAAATAGAAAAAAAATGATTAAAGCACCTATGGGATTTTTCACCAGCCAAATTAGCATTTTTATTAAAAAAAATCTTTTCGTGTTATTTAGCCTACATAGGAAGAGGCTTACTTATGTAGTTGATAAGAGTGTGAGCTGATCAACTTTTTGGAAAGTAATATGCCAGTATAATTAAAATTATAATTAAAATGTATCATAGGTCAGTTATACCACTTTGAGAATCCTATACTATAGAAAAGAAGAAATATAAACAAAAACATCAGTGGGATCCACGTATATGGATGATTATTGAAAAGTCATTAGTGATGGGAATTTTTAAAAACAACCTTAATATCCATCTAATAGGGAAGAGTTAAAAAAATCAGAACTTATCTATAATGCGCATTACTACACAGAAATTCAAATGATACATTTGATCTACATTAGTTGGAATTAGCGATGTCCATGTACTATAACGGGAGAAAGTAAATTACTAAATAGTAGAAGATTTGAGCACGTTCTTTAAACAAATCAATAAAGCCCTGAAAGGATTTACTATTGGGAGCAAGTCACAAAATTCAGAAATAGTAGGGAAAATATTCAACAATTTGGCCATGTAAAAATGAAAGTTTCCTCAAAACAAAGACAATATAGGCCGGGCGCGGTGGCTCAAGCCTGTAATCCCAGCACTTTGGGAGGCCGAGACGGGCGGATCACGAGGTCAGGAGATCGAGACCATCCTGGCTAACACGGTGAAACCCCGTCTCTGCTAAAAAATACAAAAAACTAGCCGCGCGCGGTGGCGGGCGCCTGTAGTCCCAACTACTCGGGAGGCTGAGGCAGGAGAATGGCGTGAACCCGGGAGGCGGAGCTTGCAGTGAGCTGAGATCCGGCCACTGCACTCCAGCCTGGGCAGCGGAGCCAGACTCTGTCTCAAAAAAAAAAAAAAAAAAAAAAACAAAGACAATATAAACAAAAGTAATGACACAGACCTTAAGAAACAAACTTGCTAATTATGTGGAATTAATAAATGTGCAGAATACATAGAGTATCATTACATGAATTAGAAAACTAATAAAACATATCATGAAATTCTCAGCGAGAAATACAAATGGCCAGTAAACATGTGCAAAAATGCACAATCTCTCTAATAAGTGGAGAAATCCAAATTAAATGTGGAAATATTTCTTAATCATAAAATTGACCAAGGTTAGCATTGGTCATTTCCTCTGTAATTAAAGGTGTGTGGAAATAGGAACTCTCATGTACTGATGGTAGGAGTATAATATCATTACAGTTTTTTGAAACAGATTTTTAATTTTGTATCAAAATATGGCCAGGCACAGTGCCTCACACCTGTAATTCCAGCACTTTGGGAGGCCGAGGCAGGCAGATTATGAGGTCAGGAGATCGAGACCATCCTGGCCAACACAGTAAAACCCCGTGCTATTTGTAAAAATACAAAAAAAAAAAAAAAATTTGCCAGGTGTGGTGGTGGGCACCTGTAATCCCAGCTACTTAAGGAGGCTGAAGCGGGAGAATGGTGTGAACCTGGGAGGCCGAGCTTGCAGTGAGCCAAGATTGCACCACTGCACTCCAGCCTGGGCGACAGAGCACGACTCCGTCTCAACAAAATAAAAAATAAAAAAATAAAGATTCATACTTTGCCTCAGTATTTTATTTTTAGAAATCAATCATAAAAGAAAAAACACACTTAAGTACCAAAAAGATGAATATACAGGTATACCCAGGATAGTGTAGGTAACAGTAACAAATAACTGAATCCAACAAAAAATTCCACAGTGAAAAAGTGACCAAATTATGGTAAAATAACCTGTTGATTAATTATGCAACTATAAGTAAGAGTGAGAGAGACCTACATGTACTGATAAGCAATGATCACCAAATTCTATTTTATATGGAAAAACCAGTCAGGAAACAACACACAAAGCAGGATTATGTAAAAACATGGGCATGTCTATCTGTGTGTAAGAGGATGTGGATGACTGAGTGGGCTGGGTGCTGGCGGTGATACAGTTCATTCTACAGACCTAAGCAGTATTTGAATTGTTATAACAATAGCATATGTGTTTCTTATGTGATTTACTAGAAACAATTTAATTTCTCAAGTTGTAAAAAGGTGTATTTTAAACCTGTATAAAGGTACATGGAGATCATCGTCATTCCGAATAACAAAATAAAACAGCAATATAAAGACACAAATAGATAATAGTATAGTACAATTATTAAATATGACAATATTCAAGATGATATTAAAATTATATATATCTACATCTATATGCATGTAAGGATGTCAATAAATGATATTGTCTAAAATTCAACTGTGGTAATTTTTGCAGACCTCTGTGAATATATTAGAAACCATTGAATTGTGTGTACACTGTGTGGGGGTGAAATTTATGGTATTTGAATTATATCTCAAAGTTCTGTTAAAAATGAAGGGCTTGATATTCTAGCGCTAAGGGATGGTTTTATTTAAAACATAAACTAATAGTTTCCAGTAGATTCCCTTAAAAATAATACAGCATGGATTTCCAGATCACACCCACTCCCACCTTTTTAGAATTTTTGACTATTTTCCAAAGTCTTGAATTCAATGAGGTGCAGGTGGAAGAAAGCGTTTACAAAGTCAGTGGGTTACAGGAGAGCTGGTGTGGGGTGTGGCAGAGTGGGGAAGAGAGGCCCCTTTCAAATGGAAGCCTCTGGAACCCGCAGAAAGCAAGTGTAAGGTGGGGCAATCTTCTGGAAGCTACCAGAGAAAGGCTTTAGACCCAACAGTCCTGTTCACAAACACAGACAGGGGCATCTCAGTGTTTCCTTAAATCCATTATTTCTATACTGACACAAGGAAATAATTAAAAGGGGGTAATTCTGATTTAGTTTATTTCATTAAATTATCAACAAACAACTTATGAAACTAAAACTACAAAACTATAAAAGTGGAACTCAATACAATTACTAGGCTTAATAATCTGTATCTGGGACTCAGATACAGATCTGGCAAAACAGCTGCAGATGAACTCCTCAGCCATGGATGATGCCTCCAGACATGGATGAAATCCCAGCCGTGGATAATGCCCCCAGCCAGAAATGATGCCTCAGCTGCGGATATAGCTTCCAGCTGTAGATGAAGATGCCAGATGTGAATGAAGTCTCCAGTCATAAATGAAGTCCCCAGCCATAAATGAAGTCCCAGCTGTGATAAAGTCCCCAGTCATGGATGATCTTAAGACCAAACAAAAAAATTATTAAGTATAAAAAGAAAAATTGTCTGCCAATCTTATTCAAGAGCACTGGCATAAACTCCCCAGAGGAGGAGAAGGCAATTACCACGCCTCCAATAGGGAGAATCAATACAAACAAAACAGTATGCAGCCCAAAACAGCATATCCTGACGTGCTTAACCTTATACCCAATATTTAAAAATATCCAGAACACACAGGGCCATGGGAGTGGCTGTTGGAGAAATTTTCATGAAGGAAAAAATATTACAACTAAGTTTTAAAATGCTAGTTTTGTTTGTTTTGTCTTAGGAGGTAAAAGTGGGAGTAAAAATATGGAGTTTAGTGTAAGGTGGGAAAAGCAAAGGAACCCCGCATGGATGGGCTGAAGGGTGTGATGGGAGAACAGTGAGAAGTACGTTTGGGGAAGCAATTGGAAATAGAGGCTAAGCTTAATCATAATCAAAAGGGATTTGTTGAAGAATTAATGTGTGACTAGGAACAGGGAGGTATGGGCTTGTCAGCTCGACAGTGGGCACTCAGCTCCACTAACAAATGATGCCCTTGTGGACAGACAGAGTGATGGGCAGGCAGATGAATGCGTGGGCTCTACGTGAAACAGGTCCACTTGGTTGTTAATGAGATACTGTTTTAAAGTTCCATTTTGCCATACTTCCAATAGCTTTTCATTAGCTAAATTTAGCCGCATGTAAAATCACTAAGGCAGACTTCCAGAGTTCCCATATGAAAATCAAATGTCAACCAGCTGTGACGCACTTCAACATGATCATTGGAAGTCAGACATTGAGCTCTTTTTTGATATTTAAAGCCTGCATAATATTCGCTGTATATTATTCAGTGTATGACTATTTCCTTCGTGATGGAAATTTGGTTTGTCCCAACTTTCTATTCTATCAAAACACTGCTACACAGCAAATCCCCATGCACATATTTCTCCTAATTGTGGAAATATTTTACGTAAAACACTCCAGACATGGGATGAAATTCCCAGGTTATTGGAATTTTAAAATAGGTACTCCGAAATTGCCCTCTTACAAATTATATGAATTATTCATAAGCTTCCAAGTGTTACAGTGTTGCCCATTTTGAGAAATCTGTGCTAAAAGGACCCAACAATGCTGATGACAGTGATCAGGATGGTAAGGAGGCCGGGAAGACAACAGAGTGATTTAGATCTTAGACAGATCACTGTCGGTGTCTCCACTGGTCCAGCTCTTGCATTTGTTCTCGTGCTATCTTTTCTCTTTCACCAAATAAAATAGCTCCTTGACATCACATTGTGACAGTCCCCATGGTTTGCCGCTGTTACTGCGGGACTGAATGAAGGAGGGCGAATGAAGAAATGAAAACCAAGGAAAAAAGAAACTGTTTAAAGAAGGGGTCAGGGAAGAAGAAGAGGGCTCCCAGCTTCTAGTGGGCAAGGACGGCCGCCCTCAGCTTCTACAGCCCTTCGTATTTATTGAGTAGAAAGAGTAGGGAGCAGGAGGCAATGATTAGTCAGCTTCTCAATTGTTCACAGGTTCACATTATTGCTAACAGGCTTCAGATGTGCCTAATCTCAAGAAATGCTGCACCTGGGGCGTGACTGCTCTCAGCATTCCCTCTGGGTGGCAGACGCAGTTTGTCAGTTTGCCAACATTCTGTATTCATGAGAACAGTTTGCTATTTACTCATATAGCCTCCAGTGGCACACTGAGTTGATCACGACCCTCACTCTTTTCAGTGTGCAACATCACATGAATCCATGCTATGCTTAATGAGTACTGGTTAGTAAAATGCCTATGACTAGTAATGTTCATCTATGCAATTAAATATTAATTCATAAAACACTTCAAATGTAAGCAATTAATTAGTGAGTGAAAAGTACATAATACATCAATTAGAAACAAACTCTATTGGCCGGGTGCGGTGGCTCACGCCTATAATCCCAGCACTTTGGGAGGCCGAGGCAGGTGGATCACAAGGTCAGGAGATTGAGACCATCCTGGCTAATATGATGAAACCCCGTCTCTACTAAAAAATACAAAAAATTAGCCAGGCGTGGTCGTGGGCACCTGTAGCCTCAGCTACTTGGGAGGCTGAGGCAGGAGAATGGAGTGAACCCGGGAGGCAGAACTTGCAGTAAGCTGAGATCACACCACTGCACTCCAGCCTGGGTGACAGAGCAAGACTCTGGCTCAAAAAAAAAAAAAAAAAAAAAAAAAGAAAAGAAAAAGAAAAAAACTCTATTAAAATGACATTATTTGTGTGATAAAAGAGACTGCCACTTTTGTATTTTTTCTACAAGGTTAAAGAAAACTAAGTCAGCTTATACAAGTGAATTTTAAAAGCCTTTAGGTTGGGTGTGGTGGCTCTTGCCTGTAATCCCAGCACTTTGGGAGGCTGAGGCAGGCAGATCACCTGAGGTAGGAGTTCGAGACCAGCCTGACCAACATGGTGAAGCCTTGTTTCTACTAAAAATACAAAAAATTAGCCAGGCATGGGTGGTGAGCACCTATAATCCCAGCTAGTTGTGAGGTTGAGGGAGAATCACTGGCACCCAGGAGGCGGAGATGCGGTTGCACTCCAGCTTGGTCAGCAACAGCGAAACTCCATCTCATAAATAAATAAATAAATAAATAAATAAATAAATAAATAAATAAAGAGCCTTTAACACGGAATGCTGAGTAAATTGGCCAAAAATGCTAACCTATGCATTTCAATACTATAGGATTCATGTTGGTGGAAATAACCAGATTAAATACTTCTGGTATTTCACCTTCCCAACCCACACGAGCCAATGTTTTTTTTCCTGTGAACAACAAAAACAGTAGAATTTACTTGTATGTCCATAAGAGGTTATCACTTCTGTGTGTTCCCCTGAAACAGGTGGTGGCTGGGTGAGAAGGGGGACAGCACTAGGGCAGGAGATGGGGGCTCCAGTATCATGGGCGAGTTTCCTAAACTTCTGCAACTTTCAGCCCCTAAAAGGGGTGAGCGACAGGAAGTTTTAGCACAATGCCCAGAACAAAGTAAGGATTTGACAGCTGGCACTTCTCTCCACATTGTTCTGTCATCAGCTACCACGTCCTGCACCTCCCAGCCCACTGGGCTCTGGCTGTTTCCATCACGTAGAGAATGACCCGGAGCCTGGCCTCCAGCCACCCTCCTGGCCTTGCTGCTTCTCACTCTGCCACTGGCTCCTCACGGACCAGCCTGGGTGTCCTCAGACATACCACACACTTCACTGTGGGAGTCACACAGCCCTCACGACTCCTTCCCCAGGGAAGACACGGGGCTTTCCTCCTCAGGAGGACTCTGCGAGCACCTGGATGAAGGGCCCTCCCATCCCTCATCCTCCCTTAATTTTTGTTGCAGCTCTCCTTCCTTCCACTCAGTATGGCACACACTGATTGATCATCTTCCCCATAAAGACAGGAACAGCACGAGCAGTAGAGAGTAGATATCCAATGATAGAAAAAAATCGTCAATGATTTATCATTTCCATTTATCATCAATTAAGAAACCGTATGCTGAACGTCATGTACCTCCTATGGGACTGCTGCATCCTCAGCCTCCTGAATTTCAGCCCAGCACCTTCCTCCCCAGCACAGCAACAGGTCAGCCCTGACCATTCCTCTCTTATTGCCTTTGTGCAAACCAGGACCAGGACCAGGACCAGGACCAGGTGAGGCCTTGGTATTGTCCCTCCCCAACAATCTGCGAAACAATCCTTGACGTCACCAACAAAGCACAGCCTTATGAATTGGTGGTCAGTCCCTCCGAACACCTCTATCACTGTAAAGCTGGCAGCGCCCCTCCACGGTTGGCCTTCCCAGGCACTGCACCTCTAGGTAACGGAGCATGTCCTTACCATGAGGCCTGGGTGCCCAGTCTATCCTGTCCAATGAGCGAGCTGTGGAGAAGGGGGGATTCCAGGTTAAGGGGAGACTAGCAGGGCTCCTGCTTTTATGCTGCCCTGTTGGGAAGGCTGTTAAAGAAACAGAAAGTGCTAAGCAGTGAAGATAGAACATGTTTTCATTACTTAAACCAATACATTCCACAGATGGAATAATAAGAAATGCTACATGCAAGCTAACTGAATCCAACAACATATCAAAAAGATAATCCACCATGATCAAATGGGTTTCATACCAGGGATGCAGGGATGGTTTAACATATGCAAGTCAATCAATGTGATACATCACATAAATAAAATTAAAAACAAAAATCATATGATAATCTGAATAGATGCAGAAAAAGCATTTGACAAAAGCCACATTTCTTCATGATTAAAACCCTTCAGCAAAATCAGCACAGAAGGGACATACCTTAAGGTAATAAAAGCCATCTATGACAAACCCACAGCCAACATTATCCTGAATGGGGCAAGTTGAAAGCATTCTCCCTGAGGACTGGAACAAGACAAAGATGCCACGTTCACCACTTCACTCAACACAGTGCTGTTCACTACAGCATTGGTCATAAGAGCAAGACTGGAAACAGAACAAATGGATACCCAGAGGGCGGTGCTTAAGTAATTTTGGGAAGAGTCATAGGGTGCAGTACTTTATAGCTCTGAAACAATACAATGGATTTACAGTTGAAATGTGGAATGATAACTAAGGTGCATTGCCCAGTGGCATATGCAGAGGTGCAGAGACTTTGTATAAACACGATCACGCATCAGCATGCATGCCAGGTACATGTTTCTATTTGCACGTAGATTGTACGGATGATATGTGAACAAAAATGTTGACTTGGTGTTTGGAAGTTCAGAGTGGAAGGGAAACTTCCTTGCTAACCTTTTATGATATTTAGAGTAATTTCTAACCATGAATACGTAATACATTTAGAAACCTTAGCTAATAGGAAAAGCCTCTGTTCCTGGCCTCCTGCTGGCACACATCAGGTGAACATGGGGCTGTCATGCTAATGTGTGCAAACTCAGAAAACTCCAAGAATGGGAGTCTGCGTTTTTCATCATACAAATAATTGTTAATAGAAATAGTATAATGGTTATTGCTCATGGATATACCATGCATATTCTATTAGATAATAATAAATTCTGACATTTGAACTATATTTACACATGGACATTGAAATGTATGGATGAAATATTGTGGCTTATACGGGCAATGGCTTTATTGGCATTTTACAAACTGATTCCTCATGGCATGGGTCCGTGTGATATTAAGTAGCCTGTTATGTTTGGGAAAGGCAGTGATGACCACAAGAATGACTTCGACTACTAAAGTACCATGGAGATTTCAACAATGTTTGGTTTCATATTTACACATTTCATTGTGCTCCCAGGTTTTTTCTCACCCTAATAGCTGTCACCCATATCATGCGGGTCCCGTTAATACAGACACCTCCGAATGCACCCTCTTCCGTTATATGCAGCCAATTGCTGGTTACCTTGGGCCTACAACGCGGGGAGGGCAGGGGCTGCTTGCCACCTCCTCATCTACAGTAAGAGTCAATGAGCAGTTAAGTAGACACTGAAAACCATTTATCCTGCTGGAGTGAGAAATAAATGGTTTCTTTCAACAGGGTGATAAAATGCATCTTTTCCAACTTATTTATATGACTCAAGGTCCATCTCAATTCCAGATGCGAATTCTCACAAAGGTGTATAATTCCTGATTCTCACAAAGGTGTGTAATGTCGTCCATGGCCCAGTGCAGAGGAACACAGGTGTTGCCGTCAGACTGCCAGGGTCCGATCCCGCCTCCGTCACTCACCCCGGGAGCTCCCTTTAAGCCAGGAGTCAACAGCGAGATGGAAATGTGAGTGCTTTTTAAAGTCCTAAAAGTTCAGAGGATGACCGTGAATTTCTCCTGCACCCCTGGGCACACACCAGGAGAACTGTGTCTCCAGGTTCAAGTAAGTGCCTGTGAGGGAGTGTGTCCCTCAGATTCTGTTCGCCACAGGTGCCACTTGATGCAACCCCAAACCTCTTCTGCACAATCCCAAGCAGTGCTGACCAGTCCAACCCAAAGGCTGTGATGTTTGGCAGAGGCAGAGAAGGCCAGGTGTTCTGGGAAAGATCTCCTTCAAATCACACAGCACCCTCCCAGCCCACACAGACAGTTCTTACATTATGGCAAGAAACCTGGAAAACACCAAATCCAGTTTGACACATATTTCCTTTTTCTTTTTGATTTCATGCCCCCTCCCTCAACCTCCCAAGCAGCATGGATACCCCGAAGGCCCTGGGAACTCTCTCCCATTGGATCTAACATGGAAAGTAGTTACCTACCTACAAATCCTCATCATCGGATATGCTCTCCAAAAACAGATCTTTAAAACACAAACACCAGGATAAGTCATTAGAGAGAGGCCCACCCACTCCTCCCACTCCAGCTGAAGCCCCGGTGCTTCACACAGGATCCCCTGGTGTTTCCTCTGGTTCACAGACATCCCTCCAGCCTCTCTGGACATTGTTTTATACTTGCAAAATCATTTGCTCTCATCAGAGCAATGATTTGGGAATCCTCCTTCCCAAAAGGAGCCCAGAATCAGGTTTCTATACCCTACAGACAGCGTTTTTCCCTCAGGAAGTGAGTTATTTCAGGGTACGTACCGTTTTCCAGTATAAATGGCTCCTGCAATTATAGAAAAGAAAACATTAGGAGGGTGAAATGATGCCATGCATGTCACACAGCTCTGATATTCTCTCAACAACTTGGGAAAATTAGAAAGGGTATAGTGATTGAGTCAAAGGTCAAAGTCCCCCAAAACTAGCACGGAGGACACCTATGGAAAAGACAAGACCTTTTCCCACAGAATTTATCTTTAAAGTGTATTTAGATTGGCAGTTTCACAACTCTTAATCCACGGGGGAAACGTGCTGTGGAGGGAAACACCTCTGCATTGCGGTGGATCGTGGATGCCGCCATCTACCACGCCCCCGTGTGCCCAGCATGGGTTGGTGAGAGGCTGCCAATCAATAGCACCACACCAAGGGAATTGCAGATGTCATAAATAATGCACACTGGCAGATGTTCATGTCTACATCTGATTGGAAAGAAGTCAGGAAAGTAACATTTCTGTTCAAGACAAAGAAAAGTGTCTTACCTTGGCAGCGTCTTCTTTTTCAGAGGTGTGTTGTTCAGTGTCCTCATTAGTTATGTTGTAAACAATGTCCTCATTAGCGATGTTTTCTGCAATGTCCTCCTTCCAGATGTCCTCAGCATTCTCATTCGCGATGTTACGTACAGCAGCTTCATTACAGATGTCTCCAGCATCATTCAAGATGTCAGGTCCAGCAGCCTCATTACAGATGTCCACAGTGTCCTCGTTACAGATGTCTACGGCGTCCTCATCGCAGATGTCATATACAGTGTCTTCGTCAAAGATGTCCTGTATAGGGTCCCCACAGGGGGCTAGGAGAACACAGAGTAAAGGTCAGTGCCCTGGTGGTGGAGACTGTGAATCACCCAGGGAGCTTGCTTGGTGTGGTGCATGGAGGTGGCTGATCACAGCATGGGCCGAGCTGATGCTGGGCCATCCTCCCGGGTGGACCTGCGCTAGAGAAGCTAAGGGACATGACTCAAAACGCTTTCTGCAGTGGGAATCAGCTTCCAGGTTCAGATATGCTTTATCCAGTGAAGTGGGGAAATATAAAAAAATAGAAATTGACAAATTCCTGAAAAGCCCTCCATGAGTGCAAGTGTGATATTTTTTGTTAACCACTTTACATTCAGCATGCATTCACACATACTAAATATTTTTACAAGAAATCAGAAATCTTAATTTTTGTCAGTTATGTTAAATCTAAGTTAGCTGTCAACATATTCTATCTCATTTACTCTGTGGTCGCCAGAAAATCTAACACATAGTAAGTAAACCAAAATATTTATTAAACGAAAACACAGAGCAGGGGCAGGGGGGAAGCTAGGCAGACCGGGTTGCACCTGATTACCTGGATGATAATAAACTGCACAAAACCTCGGTCAGATTAATATTGAAACTGCCTTTTGCTTCGGCTCTTTTTCCTTGCAGAAGAAGGATGACCAATAAGATGAACAGAGAAGAAATGAGAAACAGAGGTCTTTGCTTAGGAGCTAAAGGCCACCTTCTGTAACACAAAATAGTCTACAAGTGGCCTTGAACTCTGCCGTGATTCAGTGACAGAGTTCCCTCATGTCGTCTACCCACGTTGAAGTCCAGCGACGCTGCGACTGTCTTCTTTACAACTTGCAAGACATGCTGCTTCTGCATTTGCCTGTTGTATGAGATTTACACCTGTTTTAAAGCCACGTTTTGTTTCAGTTGGGCTGGTGGCCATACACTGCACTAGCCAGTCAATAGTGAGATGGCTCCTCATGGAGGCTGCTTGGCTTGAGGCTGAGGGTCTTTAACCCACATGCACAAGAGAGTTGCCACGAGGGGACGGAAGCCAGGCTAATAACCAACTGCTGTACAGAGTTCCCATCTGTCCCTCCTCACCATTTTCAGCTGGCAGGATTTCAGCATTTCAGGGCTTGGGAAGATAATATTACTAAATCTACTAAAATACATCACCCATCCTTATAGGCTTTGGCCAGTTGCTGAGCAAATTAACTTCACAACTGAAGTGGGCCACATTGGCCTGCATGGTCCCCCGCTTCTCTTAGAATCTGTGAGTGTGGGGCCTACTGGAGGGTGGGAGGTGGGAGGAGGGGGAGGATCAGGAAAAATAGCTGATATTAGGCTTAATATATGGGTGATGAAATAATCTGTACAACAAACTCTTGACACATGTATATGTATGTAGCAAACCTGAACATCCTGCACATGTACCCCTGAACTTTAAATAAAAGTTTAAAAAAAAAAGTCTGTGAGCTGACCCAAACCCCCGGGGATCTTTGTGCTTTTGACACACTGATAACTACACCGGTCCGTGGGGAGATGCGCCTATAACTGCCCTGGGTGGTGTGACCACGGAGGCCACTTTATGGTGATGGGCAGTGTCTGGGACCTCTTAGGCTCAGTGCTTTAGTGCTTATACATGAATGCTGGACTCCCTGCGTGGTGGCGAACACCGCATGACTAAGTGCATGTCAGCATCAGCACTGGCCCACACTCCTGGGTTCGTGTTTTCACTTTTTCATTCAGGAACTCGGGAGCTGGGGCCACCCCCTTGGCCCTTCAGGTTCTCCACCTGAGCAGTGGGGATAAGAAGCCAGACCCAGGGATGGCTCTGGTGAGGGTGGAGGAGTCACTGTACAGAGAGAGTAGAGGGGGATGGATTTTATTGTTGGAAGTGGACACTGGTGATTGAGTTGTATAAATGGGAAATCTCTCCTGAGAAAACACAAGCCTCACCTGTACAAACACACGCACACTCACACACACTCACACACACACTCACACACACTCACACACACACACAGTCTCACACACTCACACACACTCACACACACACAGTCTCACACACTCACACACTCACACACACACTCTCTCACACACCACACACACACTCTCACACACACACTCACATTCACACACACACTCACACACTCACACACACCCCCCACATGATGCAGCCTCACACAAGACACCACCAATCCTCAAGCACCCAACTCAGTACCACCCAAAAAGGAGCACAGCTGCTTCCTCAAAAATTGGCCATAATTTTTTCCCTGGGGAACTCGGGTTTTTTTACAAACACTTCCACTCTGCTTATTCCTATCACAGTCCCAGGCTCAGGGTGGCTCTTCACATTGAAACCTGCAAGGATGCCACACCTTTCTTTGCATTCAGATTGCTTTCTTTGCAAGTAATTCCAGAATACTTACTAGAGTCACACCTCAGAGGGACCACCTGCACCACCTGCAATACAGAAACAAAGCTTTATGAGGGGTACGTCGTGTTGTGGATTGTTTGTACAAGGCTCTGTTTCTCTCAGTGAATACTGAAAACAAGATCAGAAAGTGTGGTCAACTTCAAGACCCCCCAAACAAGGGTAGGATACACACTAGAAAAGATATCAGCTTCTGGATGTTGGATCCCTCAGGTCCACGTAGCTTGGCAAGTGCAAAATACTGAATCCAAGGAGAAGACATTGCTTCCAAGGACAAGGACCCCAAGGATACAGTCTACAACCTGAAGCTGTCACAGGTATATGCCATTTTGGATTATGTATCAGTTGCTAAGAGTCGCTTCTTCCACCCCCTCAGAAAACTGCATTTAATATCTGTAATGTACACTGTCATTTTTTCACACGTAAAGTCAATTGAAAAAGAAAGACGCCAAGAAAGAAGCATTTCTGTTTCAGGGAAAGCAACGCAACCTTACCCTCGCGTTGACCAGCCTCTCTCCATCTCCTCTGTCCTTGTGAGTTGGAGACTCCTCAAGGGCTAGAAGGACACAGAGCAACAGTTAGTCACAGATGCTTTTGTTCCTGAGTTATTCAGGGAGCTCTGCTTAATGTGGACAACAGGACAGTGTGTGCAGATGTGTTTCATTAAAAGCACAGCTTGAGCTGCTGCTAGAAAATCTTCCCTCATGGAAAGACAGGCAAGAACAAGGAACTGAGGAGCGAGAAACAGAGTCCCTGGCATTTTGCTGATGGCAACTTAAGGCAACGGGAATGGGTCAGTCTACAAATGGTACTGAAGCACACGCTATAATCGGATGAGAGTCCCACTGCTCACACCGTGAGGTTTGAAACCCAGCTAAATGGTTTTCTAAACCCTGTAAAACAATATTAGCTTGTAGGATTGATGTCTCCCTTTGTGTAGAACTTTAGATTCACAAACTTCATCAATTTGTATGAAATCCTCAGCAATTGACCCCAAACAGATAAGACTGAAACAATATTTTAGGAATAGTTGAAAGTATTATCACCACAAAACATAGGCGTAATCAAATGCTGAAAGTTACACGTAAGGCACGATGACAAATAAAGCAGCAAAAGACTGTTCACATGAGGGTCTCAGGCTGCACAGACACCCACACTGGCTGAGGGGTTCTGGTTTTCATAAAGAGTGTGGCTCAGCCAGGCCACCAACAAGCAGTTAACAAACAGTAGTGTAGTAACACGACACTTTCCAAAGACCTTACTTGAGTAACATGGTGATCCTTACAAATTTCCAATCAGGATGGTGGCACAGTTCCTCCTGCTTTAGGACACAGAGCCTGCCTGTGGTCACAGGGGGTTAGGTGCAGACTCTGAAGATGCACTTCGGTCAGAGACTCTGCTGAACTCTGTCTACTGAGGGCCTCTGTCCTGTCTGCTGACCACAGGCCAGAGGTGCAGGCTGCACTGGGGAGTGAGAATGTCACCTCTCAATGTTAGGAAAACTCCCTGCCAGAACTGAGAATGGCCCTTTCTAAGCAGAAAGCAAACTCAGACTAAAGGAAGAGGCCGACCACATCAGGCTGCCAGATTGCCGAACATTCACTCAGGGAGAGCCCACATCCTGGGCCATCTTGGATGGTGGCAAGATGAGATAGATCACCGCTTTTGCAACACACACCTGACAACAAAAAATCAACAGATGTAAAAGAGCCAGAAAAATCCCCAAATATTTGCAAATTAGCAATGCATTTTTAAATAACTCATGGATTAAAGTTTCAATAGAAAATTTAAAATACCTTTAACTACATTAAATGAAAATGTGACTTGATGAGATTTCTGGATGTAACAAAAGCAGTCCATAGAGGGGAATTCATAGCATTGGATGCAATATATTACAAATTACAAAATCTAAAATCAGTAATATCATGTTTCAATTAGGAAACTGTAGAAAATAAAGGAATGCAATGTAAAGCAAGTAGAAGTAATAAACAGCATCACAGAAGTCAATAAAATTAAAACACTGAAATCATCAGAAAATCATTAAAACCAAAAGTTGGTTATTTGAGATGCTAATTACAATGAATGAACTTCTACGCAGGCTAACCAAGAAAAAGAAGATAACACAAATGACCAATTTCAGAAATAATACAGGAGCCATCTCGACTGAACTGTTGGGCAGTAAAAGGATAATCAAGGAATATTATGAACAATTCTATGACCACAGTTCGATAACCTCAGTGAAATGTATCAAGTCCTTAAAAGACACTCTTCCTAAGGTCACACCAGAATCCTAGATAATTTTAATAAGCTTATGTCTATTAAATAGGTTGAATTCACATTAAGAGCATTCCAAAAAAGAAAGCACCAGACCCAGATGGTTTCTCTCATGAAATCTACCAAATGCTTCAAGAGGTGAATAAAAAGACAAAAATCCATTTAATGCAATATTATTTGGTGATTTAATGTGCATTTTATGCCATTAAGGTATAAAAAAGACATGAAGGAAACTTAAATATACATAGTGAAATAAATTCATCTGAAAAAGCTACATAATATATGATTCCAACTATATGACATTCTGGAATAGGCAAAACTGAAGCAATAGTAAAAATATCAATAGTTGCCAAGGTTTCTGGAGAAAGAAGACAGATTAATGAGTGAGAAGAGGGGATTTTTAGGGAGGTGAGCATATTCTTTATGAGAACATAATGGTGAACATAATTGTTATAAATATTTCAAACGTCATATAAATGTGGAACAGAAAGAATGACATTATGCAAATGATAGACTTCAGATAACAATGTGTCAATATTTTCTCATGATCTTAGCAAATGTACCATAGTAATGTAAGATATTAATAATAGGTGAAATTAGGAAGTGAGGGTGAGGAGACAGAATAATATGGGAACTTTGTGTATTATATGCTCAATTTTTTTTTTTTTTTTGAGATGGAGTTTTGCTCTTGTTGCCCAGCGTGGAATGCAACGGCATGATCTTGGCTCACTGCAACCTCTACCTCCCGGGTTCAAGTGATTCTCCTGCTTCAGCCTCCTGAGTAGCTGAGATTACAGGCACCTGCTATCACACCTGGCTAATTTTTTTGTATTTTTAGTAGAGACGGGTTTTCACCATATTGGCCAGGCTGGTCTCCAACTCCCAACCTCAATTGAGCCGCCCGCCTTGGCCTCCTAAAGTGCTGGGATTATAAGCATGAGCCACCACACCTGGCCATATGCTCAATTTTTATGTCAATTGATTTATACTTACTTTATATTAATTTAAAAATAATAATATCGCACCATTCTTTCAGGAAGATCTATGCTAATGTTTAACAACCAGGTAAGTTCTAGACATTAGCTTGAAACATTGTCTATCATTAAACATGAACCAAAATTGACTTTTAAGTGGATATTTACTTTGTAGTTGTCGTAATATTTGCTGACTCCGCAAATCAGAATGCTGACACATTAAAAAATATAGCTTAGTCTCTTCATAGTTTCCTCTTACATATGGGACACTGAATACTCCCCACAATTGTGATTCTAGAATCAACTTATTTAATGAATTTCCACAGTACCTTCTACTGGGTATATTCCCTTCTTTACCCAGGAGCTACGAGGTCTCTGACCCTGAGAGGTGGATACGGCATATCTTCTTAAAATACCTATCAGAGAAGATGCTGGTTAATGCATTTACAATAGAGAGGACTGCTGACATCTTGCTGACAGAAGACCAGAGGGAAAATAGTGATAATCTAAGTTTAAACTTATGATCCTGTCCTTTACAGGCTTCCAAGCAGAGCCTGCTGAATCAAAGTTGGATTTCAGGAAGATCACAGAGTTCAGTGAGCACCCAACACCTCTATCAGACAGACTGTGGGCAGTGCCTTCACGGAGAGAATACAGCAGGACGACTGCGAGTGCAGGGCTGGTGCGGAGTGCGGCCCCGGATTCAAATTCCACTAAGTGATGTGGACCTGGCAAGCTCATGTCGTCCCTCTGCCCTCAGTCCTCTGCACTGTCATAATGAAATTTTAGCAATACTTTTCAGGCCCTACTTCTTAATATCACAGTATAGGGCTAAAAAATCACTAAATACAGGAAAATCTTAAGAGAAGACTGGTACTTCAGTAGTGTTCTCTAAGTGTTTACTACATGCCAGGAGGAATAAGCTGGACACTTAGTAGTGGCTGAATATGGAGAGGGTGCTTGGATGGCTCCGGGGCAGTGGCGCATGGTTTCCTGTTTGGCTTTTCTGTGGGCCTGATGCCTTATGGCTTATGGAGAACGTCGGCCCTGCCGGGACAGCAGAGGAGGGGCTGTGGCTGAGATTTTACACTTGAGAGTGTTGGCATTCAGCGATGGTGATGAGCAGAACCCCAACCCCAGTGAGGAAGGATCTGAGATGGGAAATGTATTTGGTTCCCTAGAGACAGAGATTCCTGAACAACTGACACCTCTACATCACGCCCTGTGCCAGAGACCCAAGAGACCCCCTCACTGTCTTTCTCCAGTCCTCCTAGCCCGAGGTGTGTGGGTGGACAAAGGTGATGCTCTGGAGGAGATGCCTGAGACAAAGACAGGTCCTTAATGATAAAGAATTCTCCTTCCTCTATCTTTCAGATCCTTGACCCCCCCCACTCAATATGACAGTTTATTTTAAAGGCTGTTATCTCTGTGGCCTTCCTCCCTTCACCCTGCCAGCTGCCTGTCAGTGACTGTCTCCTCCAGTGACTACACTGAGGGACCAGGGTCTCCTTGCCTCCCAAGGCTGCTCAGACCTTCTGACACTGCAAAATGCTTGTCAAAAGATGGGTCTGCAAAGAGTAACTTCCCTTTCACTGATCAAACCTGAATATGCAAGCTACTTTGAATTAACTGGAAAAGTGGCCATGTGGGCTGATGCTTTGGTGGTTTAATGAATTAAGTCTGCCACCTCCACTGCCTCCTTGACTATTGATCAGAGCCACCTGCAATAAGGTCTGGCTGAGAATGGGCAGTGGCTGCGCCAGCTCTGGGTGCGTCTTCTCTGCTCATTCTTTCCACAGCCAAATTCAGTTTCTAATTTACACACTCCACATCCATCCCTAGACCTTGCTGTGACAGGGGACAGAGTCCTGTCTCTTCTTAGGGAGACCTCTCCATAACCACAGGACCCTCTCTGATGTTCGCCTCAAGCTCTGTTTTCCTCTGTCACCAAATGTCCCTTCCATTAACCCAAAGGCCCTGTCTCTTCTCCCAATCCTTTAAAAGTGATCTCAGAAAGCTACTGATTCTCTCCCCATGAACCCCAGCGAAAACCCCCATAAAATCTCGTTTTTCTTCCTTTCTGAGAAAAAGTCTGATGCTAGATTGCTAATGTTTGTTTTCAGGGTTTGACTTCTACCTTCAGAAAAGTGTTTCTGTCCTTCCCCTTTTCTGTAATGTCTGTTATTGCAGGAGTGCAATCACGATTCCCTGGAAATAATCAAGCAGTAAGGCTGTGTTTACTCTGTGTATTCTCTGGAAATGTGTTCACAAGATTGGTGCTATGTTTATTCTACTATTTGGTAGAAATAAAAGGAAGCCACATGGTCCTGATATTGCATTGTGAGTTTTAAAGATTCTTATATTTTAGTTGTCTTTGTCAAAACTCTAGATTTTTAAAATGTACATCTTGATGTTTTCTTCTAGATAATATAAACATATGTATTACCCACATTATTTATTTCTCTGCATTCTTCTGTGACCCCCTGGCTTGCTCAGAGACATCCTAAATCCAGAAAATGGAGACCTCATTTTCCTTTCTCAGAGCCTTCTATGTGACTTAGAGACTACCATGTCCCTGGCTTTAAGATTAACTCCGTATCACAGAAAGACAACTTAGATCTTTCTTCCCAGAAGTCCAGTAGTCTTCAGTGGACCCCCCCCCATTCTTATACAACGAGGTCATCCAGGTCTCAGGCAAAAGCCCCCAGTATTTTGTAAAATTTGAGCTATCACAACTTTACAAGCTTTTATGTTATTACAAAGCTTTGTCCTCTTTTAGTGAGGATTTTAGCAACAGTGACCTAGTTAACAAAAAATAGAAGGGGCTGGGCACAGTGGCTCACGCCTGTAATCCCAGCACTTTGGGAGGCCAAGGCGGGCAGATCACAAGGTCAGGAGATCAAGACCATCCTGGCTAACATGTTGAAACCCTGTCTCTGCTAAAAATACAAAAAATTAGCCAGGCGTTGTGGTGGGTGCCTGTAGTCCCAGCTACTGGGGAGGCTGAGGCAGGAAAATGGCATGAACCTGGGAGGGAGAGCTTGCAGTGAACTGAGAGCACACCACTGCACTCCAGCCTGGGTGACAGAGCGAGACTCAGTCTCGAAAAAAATTTAAAAAAAGAAGGAACTACTGGAAGAAAGCATGGAAAGAACACACGAGGTAAAATTTGACCTAAAATGACCAGTCTCATTCACTAACCTCACCATAGTCTTATGGGTTCAATAGACCTGTCCAATCCTTTGCTCTGTTCCCTCCAACACCTTCCTAATTGTCCTCCACCACTCATGTAATAGAAACATTGCACAGGGGAGCTAATCACCTCTTTTATCCCCCACTTCAGGTTCACGTATAAGTTTATAGTAAAAGCCTTTTCAAATGACTGCTTTAACTGCTGCTACGGCATGTATCATCAGTTGAATGGAACCTCACATGTGACTTTAACCAAGCCTTTTTTGAGACACAAGATTCAATACGAGGGACAGTATTCTAATGTAGTACATCGTTTATGTTATGAAGATTATCAGTTATTGAAAATGTGTAAATAATGAAGCCCAGCCTTACTGCTCAATGCTGTGTGTGTGAATCCACTGAGCGTGCTGACCCCCATGCCTGCACCTACCTGCTAACACAGGGAGGGTCCATTCAGAAGGGAGGCACAGCTCCAGCACTGACACTCTCCCACCAGCTTCACAAGAGAGTTACCATAAGGACGACAGATACCCGGATAACAACCAAGTGATAATTTGAGTACTTAATGGTCATGATCCCTAAAGTGTGTAGCTCAGAGGGCTTGTGGGGAACTGTGGCCAAGACTCTAAAGCATCTCCCCAATTCTTACTGGACTTGAGCCTTGTCTTGAGGAGACCCAGCCATGACATGCAGGCACCACACTGTCCTAATTAATGCCTCCCTTAGTGTTTCAGAACCTGTGATTTGATCAGAAACACGGGCTTTCTATGTCGGTTTCACACTAAGGACTACGTGAAACCTGCAGGGAGATGCCTACATAGCTACCTGGATTCTGAGATCACTGAGGCTCTCTTATGTGAGGGATGGCGTTTGAGATCTCTGCAGGCTTGGGTAATTCCAGGCATAGAGGGTGCTGGAGCTCCCTTGCATGGTGAATAGTGATCCCTTCACTGGCTGGTAAGTAGAGGCTGTAGTTCAGGCCTTCAACACTGGGACCATATGAGTAAACATCTTGGCTCCTCACTGCGTAGCAAGTGAGCCGGGGCACATTTATTTCTGTGGCTTAGTTTCTCCATCTGGCATGGGGGTTCAATAAACAAGCTAACAACATATGTCCATGAGGAGGTTTGAACTAATGTAAGTAAAGTATGTGATCTGATTTGTTAAATTAAGAAAAATGGCACTGAGAGTTGTGCTGGGCAAACACATTTTTTTCCTGGGGGAAACACACACAGACACACGTTCACAAGCAAATCATGCAGACTTGCACATAGACCACCCCCACCCCGCACTAATACACACTCCCACACAACCTAATCTGAACACGTTCCCAGGAACTATACATAGATAAAAGGAGTTTGTCACCTGGAAAACCAGTTTCTGTTACTACACCCCACATCCTCATTCCCACCAGGTGTCTTGGATCATGGAGGCTCTCCAGGCAAAAGCCAGCAGTTAGGCTCCACATTTCCTAGAGAGTTTTTTTCTAACAGCCAGTGAGTGATTCCAGAATACGTACCATCAAGGGTGCTCAATGAAGACACCTGTAATTAGAGAAGGAAACACTCTGAGAATGAGGCCATGCTATGGATGGTTCGCACAGGTCTTCTGTTCACTTGGAAACTGAGTAATGAAGGTGGGAAAGAATGTCCAAGTCAAAAGCCTCAACTCTAGAGTAGAGTTCCCTTAAGAAAGCACAGGGGCTTTTCCTGAAGAATGCTTCTGTCTAGATAATTTTTGGGTGGCAATGACAGAATTCTTATCTAAAGTGGAAAACTTGTTCCTGAAGAAAATATCCCTTAACACACCCTGTACTGTCTGACACTGCCAACTGTGGTCGTCCTCTGGAATCAGGCGTCAGTTGGTAAGATACACCTCCTCCATTCCCAAGGAAATATTATCTAACATCTATAATGTACCGGTTAATTTTCCCATAGCTGATATCAACTGAAAAATAAAGGAACCAAGAAAACAACATTTACATCTTAGGCAAAGACAGGCTACTTTACCGTCGAAGTAGAGTAGAGCTCCCTTTTCACATGCTTTTTGGAAGGCTTCTTCGAGTCACCTAGGGGATGTGGAAGGACACAGCATGGCTGTCAGTTCATTGGTGGTGCTATTCATGAATGACTAAGGGACTAGAACTTAGGGGTGTGCCTGGTTAACAAGCATGGATTGAGCTTCTCCTGGACCATCCTCTTCATGGACCAAGGAAGGCAAAGAAAGAGCAGGAAGGAAATGAGAATGGAGCCCCTGGCTTTCCAGGTAATGGCAAATGAAAGCAACGTGAAATAATCAAACTCCAAATGAACAAATACTAAAATACATGCTAGGATTCAACCATAGTGTCCTGTCACTTCTTCAGACCCTTTAAAAACCCAGCAGGATGGCCACTACCTTCTTGACATCTACCAAGTCTCTTTCAACCTCCACAGACCCACGTACAGTGCTGCTGCTTCTATCATGGAGGGTATAGGGTTCTGCTCGTTTATGTGTGATTTTTTTTTTTTTTTAACAGAGTCTCGCTCTGTCGCCCAGGCTGCCATATGTCTGTGGTGATGATTCGACGTAGGTAAAGTGTACAGTATAAGTGCTCATGAGGCTTAATTATCAGTGAAATGTCTTGTTTTAAATTTCACAGCTGATAAGCTTAATAAGCTTAATCAGAGGCTTATTCAAGCCCAGGATTCTGAACTCCCAAGTCATTGGTTCTATGAAATACACCTGCTTGGCCTAAAACCAACCACTTTATCATAATTCAGACCCAGTTTTGAAAGAAGCAGATGAAGTCAAAAGTGCTGTGTCTGCCTGAGCGCACACTCAGTGCCCTCCACACAAATGGCACCACTGTCTGTCACAATGGCCCAGTGGCCTGGCTGGCACAGACTGTGGCAAAGGGCAAGAGATCACTAATCCCATCACCATGGTGATAGAGCATCATAAACTTTCCAGGGTGAAGGCACAATCCACCTTGTGAGGTCCAGCTGCTGCCATGCAGACACTCGTGCTTTTACATGCACAGGAAGGTCACTGAAGATAAGTGTTTTACATCCATGGTCAACAGATGAGATGACCATGAAATGAACACCAGTGTATGGGTGGAGCAGCTTATTTATTCAGTCTTCTGCACTAAAACCTGTGAAACGATATCATCTTGCCTTATTTACTAACACATACAAGTGCCTCTAAACTTAGACAGTTTCCAAGTCACGGAACTGATGACCACTGAGCTCCTGACTGTAACTGACAATTCTATGATTTTGGATAACTCCCAAAGCATAAAAAATAAATGTTTTATTTAACACATAGATAATACACATTCTTATTTCTTTTTAAAAAAGTAATATGTGAATGGAAATGACATACTACAAATTTATTAAACTAAATACACATTTCACAAAAAAAGAAAAAACACATTAAAAACAAAGATAGGTACATTTTATTGTGTGAAAAGCTTCAAACCCATCTGTACTACTGTGGCTTTGCTCCAAACTTTTTGAAAGTAATGATTTCGTAGGTTCTTAATTAGGTTAAAAACTACATTAAAATAGACTTTGCCATATTCTCTCCAAGGGAATAACTTAATTTGGACGCGGGGGAACGTTGAAGGGTGCAGGATGTAAAAGGAAATTATATATATATTTTAGGCCGGGTGCGGTGGCTTAAGCCTATAATCCCAGCACTTTGGGAGGTCGAGGCGGGCGGATCACCAGGTCAGGAAATCGAGACCAACCTGGCTAACGTGGTGAAACCCTGTCTCTACTAAAAAAAATACAAAAACTTAGCCAGGCATGGTGGCGGGCGCCTGTAGTCCCAGCTACTCGGGAGGCTGAAGCAGGAGAATGGCGGGAACCCGGGAGGTGGAGCTTGCAGTGAGCCGAGATCATGCCACTGTGCTCCAGCCTGGGCGACAGAGGGAGGCTCTGTCTCAAAAAAAAAAAAAGAGATATATATATATATATGTTTTAAATGTGGAAAAATTTCAAAGGTACCCTGCTTGATACAAGAATCAAATTTACAAATTGAGGAATAAAACATAACCATGAAACATATTTATAACTGCATATGGAAAATACAGAGGTTAATTTTTTAAATAACATAGTTTGAAAATATTAACTAGTAATTTGAAAAGACAGCATTTGACAGGCCAATATGAACATACCTCGAATGCAGGAACACAGGTTCCCCATAAGAAAAATCAAAATCAGGGAAAATTAAAGCAAAAAGGTTCAATCTGCTCTGACCTTCGAAAAACTCAGCACAGACAGTGGCACTTACGACCAAGGGCAAGAGATCCCTAATCCCATCACCATGGCGATAGGGCATCATAAACTTTCTGAAGGCACAATCCACCTTGTGAGGTCCAGCTGCTGCCATGCAGACACTTGTGCTTTTACATGCACAGGAAGGTCACTGAAGATAAGTGTTTTACATCCATGGTCAACAGATGAGATGACCATGAAATGAACACCAGTGTATGGGTGGAGCAGCTTATCTATTCAGTCTTCTGCACTAAACAATATCACCTTGCCTTATTTACTAACACATACAAGCACCTCTAAACTTAGACAGTTTCCAAGTCATGGTACTGATGAGCACTGAGCTCCTTGAGAGAGCTCTGGATGACGGATTGGTAGAACTAAGTCATAAAATCCATCCAAACAGCATTAACAAGTAAACAGGTTTTCAAAGCTCTCTACATGCAAACTTATACAATTATCCCTTTAATTTTTATCTTCATATATACATACATGATCTACTTGTTTCTCAGTATAAATAAAACTGTATGTTCTTAGTTAACAGTCTCTACCAATTCATTCTATTTATCTTTCTGAGTTGAAATACTGCATTTCATTGGGACACAGAAAAAAATATTTGACTAAGATTACTCTGGAAAGGTGAGTAGGTTGGGTGATTGACTGCAATTCACAGTTCTGTGATTTTGGATAACTCCCAAAGGACAAAATAAATGTGTGTTTTATTTCACATATAGACAATACACATTCCTACTACTTTTTAAAATTAATATGTGAATGGAAATGACTTACTACAAATTTATTAAATACACATTTCATAAAAAAAGAAGGAAAAACATGTTAAAAAGAAAAATAGGTACATTTTATTGTGTGAAAAGCCTCAAACCCATTCATACGACTGTGACTTTGTTCCAAACTTTTTGAAAGGGATGATTTCATAGGTTCTTAATTAAGTTAAAAACTACATTAAAATAGGTTTTTATTTTATATTCTCCCCACAGGAATAACTTAATTTGGGATGGGGAGCATTGAAGGGTGCAGGATGTAAAAGGAAATGACACATTTTTTTAAATGAAGAAAAAGTTCAAAGGTACCCTGCTTGATACAAGAATCAAATATATAAAGTGAGGAATAAAACATAACCACAAAACATACTTACAACTGCATATGACAAATACAAAGGATTTTTAAAGTAACATATTTTGAAAATATTTAGTAATTTGAAAAGACAGCATTTGACGGGCCAGTACAAATATACCTTGAATGCAGGAACACAGGTTCCCCATAGGAAAAATCAAAATCAGGAAAAATCAAAGCAAAAAGGTTCAATCTGCTCTGACCTTCGAAAAACTCAGCACAGACAGTGGCACTTAAGAACAAGGGCAAGAGATCCATAATCCCATCACCATGCTGATAGGGCATCATAAACCTTCCAGGGTGAAGGCACAATCCACCTTGTGAGGTCCAACTGCTGCCATGAAGACACCTGTGCTTTTACATGTACAGGAAGGTCATTGGCGGCTCAGTGTTTTATTTCAAAAACTGAATCCCAAGTCCACACATTATTATTCTGTGCTTCTTAAAATAAGTTATCAGATGGGAAATAGGATATCCCCAAATATAGTCAATAGTGAGAATTTCAAATTGAAGAGGGGCACAACTGATATGTTGAGAACAAACAGAGATTCCACTCTGTTTTTCAACTTTTATGTTAGATTCAGGGTGTACATGTGCAGGTTAGTTACCTGGCTATATTGTGTGCTGCTGAGGTTTGGGGTATGAAAGATCTCAACACCCAGGTACTGAACACAGTACTCAGCACTTTTTCAACCTTTTCCTTCCTCCCTCCCACTCCCAGCAGTCCTAGTGTCTATCGTTACTATCTTCATGTCCATGGGTACTCAGAGTTTAGCTCCTACTTATAAGAACATGAGGCTGGGCGCGGTGGCTCAAGCCTGTAATCCCAGCACTTTGGGAGGCCGAGACGGGCAGATCACGAGGTCAGGAGATCGAGACCATCCTGGCTAACACGGTGAAACCCCGTCTCTACTAAAAACACGAAAAACTAGCCAGGCGAGGTGGCAGGCGCCTGTAGTCCCAGCTACTCGGGAGGCTGAGGCAGGAGAATGGCGTGAACCCGGGAGGCGGAGCTTGCAGTGAGCTGCGATCCGGTCACTGCACTGCAGCCGGGGCGACAGAGCGAGACTCCCTCTCAAAAAAAATAAAATAAAAAAAAATAACATGAGGTGTTTGTTTTCTGTTACTACATTAGTTCACTTAGTGGCTTCCAGCTCTAGCCATTTTCCCTCAAAGAACATAATTTCATTCTTTTGTAGCTGCATAGTATTCCATGGTCTATATGTACCACATTTTAATCCAGTCCACTGTTGATGGGCACCTAGGTTGATACCATGTCTTTGCTATTGTAAACAGAGTTGCAATAAACATAGGAGTGCACATGTCTTTTTGGTAGAATAATTTGTTTTCTTTTGGATACATAGTCAGTAATGGGATTGCTGAGCTGAATGTTAGTTCTATGTCCTTTGAAAAATCTCCAAACTGCTTTCCACAGTGACTGAACTAACTTACATTCCCACCAACAGTATATAAGCATTCCCTTTTTTCCTTAAACTTGCCAATATCTGCTATTTTTTGACTTTTTTTTTCTCTGAGACGGAGTTTTGCTCTGTCGCCCAGGCTGGAGAGCAGTGGGGCAATCTCGGCTCACTGCAAGCTCCACCTCCGGGGTTCTCCTGCCTCAGCCTCTCGAGTAGCTGGGACTACAGGTGCCTGCCACTGCACCCGGCTAACTTTTTGTATTTTTAGTACAGATGGGGTTTCACCATGTTAGCCAGGATGGTCTTGATCTCCTGGCCTCGTGATCCACCTGCCTCGGTCTCCCAAAGTGCTGGGATTACAGGTGTGAGCCACTGCACCTCGTCTGACTTTTTAAAAATCGCCATTCTGAATGGTGTGAGATAATATCTCATTGTAGTTTTGATTAGCATCTCTCTCATGATTAGTGATGATGAGCATTTTTTCATATGTTTGTTGGCTGCATGTATGTCTTCTTTTGAGAAGTGTCTGTATCTTTTGTCCATTTTTAAATGGGGCTGTTTTTTGCTTGTGGAATTAAGTTCCATATAAATTCTGGATATTAGCCCCTTGTTGTATGATGGTTTGTGAATAATTCCCCCCATTCTGTAGGTTGTCTGTTTACTTTGTTGATGGTTTCTTTTGCTGTGTGGTGGCTCTTTAGTTTAATTAGGTCCCACTTGTCAACTTTTGTTTTTGTTGCAATTTCTTTTGAAGACTTAGTCATGAATTATTTCCCATAGCCCATATCCAGAATGGTACTTTTGAAGTTTTTCTTATAGGATTATTGCAGTTTGAGGTCTTAAATTTAAATCTTTAATCCAACCTGGGTTAATTTTTGTATATGTGAAAAATAGGTGTCCATTTTTGGGGGTTTTTGTTGTTGTTGTTGTTTTGAGAGGAGTCTTGCCCTGTTGCCAGGCTGGAGTGCGGTGGCACCATCTCCGTTCATGGCAACCCTCTGCCTCCTGGGTTCAAGTGATTCTCCTGCCTCAGCTTCCCGAGTAGCTGGGATTACAGGCACATGCCACCACACTCAGCTAATTTCTGTATTTTTAGTAGAGATGGAGTTTCACCATGTTGGCCAGGCAGGTCTCCATCTCCTGACCTCGTGATCCGTCAACCTTGGCCTCCCAAAGTGCTGAGATTACAGGTGTGAGCCATCATGCCCACCCAATAAGGTGCATTATTAACATCTAAAAAGCTCAGGGAAGTGAGCTTTCATCATATTTTTATTTAATTTAGTTTTCCCCAGAGTGTTTGGAATACATTCCTCCATGAGCCAGAGAACTTCCAATGTTCACTGCAGTGTCTTTAAGTGGCAGTAGCAGCTGTGGGTTGAGAACACAAAAGTCTTCCACTCTTCCTTTTAGAACCAGCAATTCACGGTGCTCTGTGTTTTTATTCGGCATTGGGTAGGAGCATCTGGGTGCTGGGCATGGCACCAGTGCCCCATGGAGGAGGGAGCCAGGAAGCTCCTTTCTTCCTTCTCTAAAACCTTTTTTTTCTTTATGTAGATCCAAGTTTCTAGCCTGTATCATTTTCTTCTCTCTGGATAACTTCTTTTAACATTTTGACAGATCTACTAACCATAAATTTGTGTTTGTATGAGACAGTTTTTATTTCTCTTCACTTTGGAAGGATAATTTTGCTGGATACAGAATTTTAGGTTGGTGGTGTTTTTCTTGCTTGCTTGCATGGGTTCTGAAGAAAAGTTTGATGTAATTTTTATTCTTATTCTAACGTGTTAGGCCTGGTAAAGCCCAAGGTGGTTAGACTCTGGTGAAATGGTCTCCCTGGGGCAGGCTTCTGCTAAGGAGAACGGAACGCCCTGGGTCTATTTCAAAGTAGTTACTTTTCCCCTTCCCTGTGGGAAGCGGGAGGGAATTTTTCTCTTTTCACAAGAGCCTCTGGCAGAGCTCTTGGAGGTTTATGAAAGTGTAGGGCCCCCTAAGACTGGGCTCCCTTAATTCTTAATTCTCAAGTTTATGTACACGGAGCCTCCAGCAGTTTGTCATTTACATTTCAGTCTTCCCACTGTGGTTCTAGCTCCAGTGGCCAGCCTCCGATCCTGTTAGGCTGGGACTCACTGCCTGTCCAATTTGGGGAACAATGGTTTGCCCTGTTAACCTCAAGTCTCTGATGGATCTAAGAAAAGTTCATTTTCAGTTTGTTCAAGATGTTTTTTGTTGTGACAGCTTCCAAGCTGGAAAAAAGAAGTCATATTTGGGTTTTGTTTCAAAAATATTTTTCCAATTAGAAAGAATGATGCCTCACACACTTCTATACATGTCTTTTGATGCAGCTGTGCACGTGTTTCTGTTGCCCAAAGAGCGAAATACCTGAGTCCTAAATGTGCTACTGTTTAGAACGTAAGTATTCAATGCCAAACACAGTATCCCCTCCAGCAGGAGATGAGAGTTATTGTTGCTCCAGATTCTCTCCAACACTTAGTGTTCTCAGTCTTTTAAATTTTAGCCATTTTGGAGGATGTGTTATCTTGCTGTGATGTTAATTTGCATTTACATGAATATTAAGAAAGTTGAACACATTCAAATATTTGCTTCTATAAAATACATGTTTATGTCTTTTACTCACCCATTTTTCTTTCTCTTAGTGATTTTTTTTTGAGACAGAGTCTCGCTCTGTCCCCAGGCTAGAGTGCAGTGGCGCGATCTCGGCTCACTGCAAGCTCTGCCTCCCGGGTTCACATCATTCTCCTGTCTCAGCCTCCTGCGTAGTTGGGACTACAGGCACCTGCCACCACGCCCAGCTAATTTATTCTATTTTTAGTAGAGACAGGGTTTCACCGTGGTAGCCAGGATGGTCTCGATCTCCTGACCTCGTGATCCGCCCGCCTTGGCCTTCCAAAGTGCTGGGATTACAGGTGTGAGCCACCACGCCCAGACCTTAGTACTTTTTAAGACTTCTTTACATATTCTGAATGTGAGCCCTCTGTCAGTTCTATGTGTTCATAGATCTGTTCCCACTCTGCAACTTGCCTTGTCACTTTCTTAGTGGTGTCTCTTAATAACAGAAATTCTTAATTCGAACACAGTCTAATTTATCAATTTCTTCCCTTAAAACTAGGGCTCTTTGTGATCTGTTTAAGAAATCTGTCCCCACTCACAGTCATAAACATCGACTGGGCA